TCTCTGTGTGTGCTGATTCTGAGAAACTTTGTTTTAAAGATAAATAAAATTGTGCACAAGTAGTGAGCAACCACCAGTTTCTTAAATAAATGAATCATTTCTCAATATTTTTTTCCTTTTAAATAGGACACATCATCACTTGGAATTTGGAGGTTTTGAAATGGTGGCTATTTCTTTAATATGTTTTAGTCTTATAATCAATGCTGGTGCTCATTTTTTTGGTGAAATTTATTTTTAAAGTGTTTTTCTTGTTTTCTTATTCTGGTTATTCTATTTCCCCTATCTCTGACAAAGTAAGTCTTTCTTTTTAAAAATTATAGGTGTGTAGCCAGTCATTGAGCTAGTTGCTTTCCCTGGACAGAACCGACTTTTTATTTTTCAAAGTAATTAAAAAGAGTTCATCTTAATTGAGCTGATGCCCATGCTGATACCTAGCTTCACTCTCTTAGACTCATTTGAAAACAGAAATCAGATAGAGCCTCACAGTTTTAATTCACCTATCTACAGAGGGGGAAAAATGAACGATCTCAGCTAAGTTGTAAGGTGGAAATTCGATGTTCTGAAAATTGTTGCATCTTAAATGCAAACATAACACATAATTTTATGAAGATGGCCACAAATCAACAAACATGATGATAATCCTTGTCCTTTCTCCCAGGTACACCCCAAATCAAGAGGCTTTAGGCATTTCCTATTCAGGTACAGTCGAAATGGGAGGTTGTGCAGCTGATGGTGAGTATATTTTAAAATGATACACTCTCCGGAGCTAAATCACAGAAGGTTTCGTTACTCTGTCCCCACCCTTCTTCTGGATGTAGCGTGAAAGTATGAGGGGCTGGCTTCCCTAGCTGTGATCCTGTGTTGGGAGCCCCCCAGCCTGCCAGTAGAATAAATTTTTCTCTGTGTAGTGGGGAAAACCTCAAAGCAGAGTAGTTATCCAGGCACAGATCTGTTCTAACTGGATAACAAGAAAGACTATGATGGGGACTTGGCTGTTTAGATTAAAATGCATCGCAGGCTCTGGGAACAAGCACACATCAGTAGTAAAGGCTGTTTAAACCTTTGGGGACAGCCCTATGTTTAGATTACATTAATTCATAAATATTATACTAAATACCACTTAAATTGGACTTAAATGACTTCAAAGATAATGCATTATAATATGGCTATCCAGAGAGCACTAGTCTTTATGTCTCCCACTGACTCAGTCTTTGCTGCCTCCTATCCTGTTAGATAAGACCAAAGTTATGAATGGATTTCTGGCTTATTCATGATCTACCGTGTGTGTGTGAGTGTGTGTGCAGGGATGAGTATATGTGTGAATATGTGTGTCTTCAGTCACTGCCTCTGTTTGTTCTCCAAGAAATAAAAAAAAAAGAAAATAGACGTAACTAAAAAATGAGAGAAAAGAGGAAGTAGACTAGTGGGTGGCCTGGTTCCTTCTTCAAGGAAGAAAAATTCTACAAAAAGGGGCAACATTGGTCCTTAACCCATTTCTTCTGCTATCCTGGGAATTTGCTTTTCTCTTCTTTAATCAATAGCACAATGTTGTTCTCTTTGGAGCCTGGAAAAACAATCTTTCCAAAAGTGCTTAAAATGGGGGGGGGGTACTCTGAGTTAGCCAGAGAGTTTGCATTAGACTGAGGTTTATTCCTTGGGTGTTGTTTCTTTGAATTTTGATTTGGTTTTTTTCTTCTTTTCTTGATCTGCCTAACACCCAGAGTGCCCTCCCTCCAATTGCTTGCTAGTCTCCTGGGGGGTAAATTTACCTTTACAGTAATTACCCCAGTCCACAGCTGCTATTTGCTGCTTCCTAGCCCAACAGCCCTTCTCGGATATGGCTGGGTTTGCTCCACAAAACCCACCCACTCCCTCCTCCACAGACTCCCAATTTGACTGGAGTAATTGCCTTTTAAGGTGCACTCTACTCCTGACAGGTATTCCATTAACCCTTAGAACTCCTTCCTTCTTTAGTTACCTGAAATGGCAGGTGGCTAGCAAATGGATATCTACCTGAAATCTCATGTATTTTGTTTACTTTTTACTGGTTTAAAAAACCAATAACATACACATGTTATCCATGCTGGGGGCCAGTATTCTCTTATGTGTCTCAATTTTATCCCAGTATTATTCATTAGAAGTTGTAAATTCAGATAGGGAAGAGCAAGAGCCATGGATATGCCCTGAAACCAGGCTTAACAAAGGCATAATTCTATCCTTAGCCTCACGTTGTCAGTTTAGAGATGGGGAAAATCTAGAAGCCAAATGCAACCCTCATTCTTCAAATCTCATCATGCTTTTTGACTTAACAATTGTTAATCACCAATGGCAAGCAAGTAATTTTTTTTTAAGGTGGCCAGAGGCTTATTTTACCAGGATTAGCTAATAAATCAGGCTGCATCATTGGAGGAGGAGTTCAAACTCTACTAGGACTGAATAAACCAGCCCTTGGAAATGGTCTCATTTATTCAGCTCTCCGGGAGTGTCCAGGCATGGCTAGAGACATTGTGGCCAACCTTGACTCTAATAATCAGAAGGATGGAGAGGCAGGAAGTTTTAAGGAAAATATATGCTCAGGCTCTGAAGGGTAAGCTGCAATAAGCACCAGGATGCCTGAGCCAATGAGCCCTGCCTGTCAATGACTGAGACAGTTTGGAAGAAGAATTATTTTGAAAATGAAGTTTTGTTTTCCTAGGATATATCTATATATCTATATATCTATATATACCTATATCTATATATATATATCTATATATATCTATATATATATCTCCTTTCTCTCCCTGATACAAATGATTGAAATTCTACTTCTTATAATATGAGAAAGACCAAATTACATTAGAAATAAAGTGATAGCAGCAAGGAATTGTTGAGAAGGAACCAAGGAATATTGCTAAAGTTTATCTTCATTTGAAATAAAGAAGTAAATAAAGTGCTCTAATCCAGATCTCATAGGATGCCCAGTTCCCTACAGCTATCTTTTGCTTCTAGTGGGTTCTGATTTTTAAACTTTGAAATCTTAAATTACCACAAAGCTGATCATAGGTAGGCAAAAACCATCTCTACCTATGCTATTAAAATTTTATTATTACTATTTTTAAAACCAGGGACCTATTAAAATGACAAAGATTTGATACAAGCCTTGATTAGCTTCTAGGGAGCTTGATTGGAAAGAGAAATCTACAAAGATATGGTTGAGAGGGAGGGGGAAAGAAAGTGTTTCTTTCCTTCAAATGTTATTTCAAAAACTACGTCCCCATTCCACCTTTTCCATCTCTTTTCTGAACAGACAGACATTTTCTCCATATTGGATAAAGGTTGGCCTCTCTTTCCTTTACAGCCCCCACCCTTACCCCACCCCAGCAAAACCGGTATATTTCCATTCTGCTGTGTTTTTGAGCTCCTCAACATGCCATTAACTTTAAGATTTACTCCTCAGCAGGCAAGCTGGAAGATGCTAAAGCCAATAAAAACTGCTCTCTGGGACTCCAACTATGAAGAGTTTGGAGCTGTTTAGTATTCGGATGAAGGGAGGGCTGGAGAAGGAGGGTGGCTGTGGTAGTGAAAACCACTGCTGCTCAGAGAGCCAGACAGCTCCGCGCTCTGCACCTAATGTGCTGGAGGATCAGCTCCGTTGCTAGCCCATTTGTGGCCAAGAATGAGGCTGTTCTCTTTATATGGGGGTGGGTGTACATGTGTGTGTTTTCATCTTTAAAACCACCAGCTCTAACACAGCATCTTCAACGGCTCCCCACACTACTGTTTATTAAAAACGGAACGTCCATACACATCCCCTACAACTTCCTTATCCCCATGCTCCTTCCCTGCCTGGCGATCAATCTCTCTCAGAAAGCATTTAACTTGCCCACACAGCTCCAGCACCGATTAATCCCCGCTGCACATCCTATACATTACTGTTAGGGAGCGGAGCACTGGGCTAATTTTGTCACCTACCAGCCACCCACACACATTCTACAACCGAACACGTTTGGGGCTCTGCCTCAAAGATAATAAAACAAGGAGAAAACAGGCAGGTTGCAGACAATTTCTATGACCACTTTCTTAAAAGTTGTTGGGTTTTAATGCTTTGATTATTCTCTCTCCCCCTCCCCCAAGCACTCACTAGTAATGATTGCTTCAAGGGAGAAATGATCTACTATAAGGCTCTCTGCATGCTGAGTTTGGGATAAATTAGGGTACACTCTTAAAACGCATATCTTGCACACCTATATTTTCCCCCAAAGCCCAGTTTTCCTGGGAAGGGGACTACACAGATTCCCCAGACACCCATTCCACCCAGGGGATGGCTGGATTCTTGCTAATGCTTGCTTTAGGTTTTATCACTCCTTCCTTCAAACATCCAAACCACCCCCTTTCTCCCTACTCCCCATACTGTCACTCACACCACAACCAGATTATTGAGGCTCACAGCTTGACAAGGAGAGTTTACTGTTAAACTGACAGCAAAATAAAAATATTTCTTTGAATTTGTCACCTCTCTCCCTTTTTAGACGGCTGAGCTCTCCTGCTACTCTGGCCCCAGCGGAGGATGAAGAGACCATCTCCTGTAGTATTTTCAGCACCACGGCGACGGACAGCTCCCTCGGTCCCCGGCCCGCGGGAGCGCCTGCCAGTCCGCTCAGCTTCTTGGGCTCGCCCCGTGCAGCTGTCCCTATCCCAATCTTTCAAGTCGCTGTACCCGAAACACAAGCCCCATTTCCCCCTCCATCCTCTCTTTCTTTCTCTTCATCTTCTGCGCCCGCTGCTCTATCCATGGCACCGTTCCTATCAGCTCCTCGACCAAAACCCAGCCTTGCCCCAGCGAGCAGCTCCCCACGCACCCCAGTGCTGGTCTCCGCTGCCGAGCGCCTCCCTCCTCGGTGCCTGCCCGTGGCTCCCTCTCGCCCCGTCTCCCGCTCGCTCGCCAGTTGTCGGCCCGCCGCTCGGCGGCCCGCCCGCTCCTTCTCCCTGGCAAAGTTGGGAGGGAAAGGTGCACTCACCTTTGTGCATGCCTGTGAACCTGTCCTTCAGAACCGTGAGCTCGTAGATCTTGCCGAACTCCTCGAAGAGGGGCTTGAGGTCCTTCTCATCCAGGTTTCGGGGGATCTGCCCAATGAACAGCTTGATGGCATCGTGGTCCTTCATGGGAATGGTCGACGGGTTCCCCGGGCTGTGGCTTAATCCGTTCATGTGCCCGGCGCTGCCCGGGCTGCCGCCGAGCCCGTTGGTACTGAGGCTCGCGTTGTCAGCCTGTCCGTTTGCTAACGTGGCCATCTTTATATACATAGAGAAAATCTTCTTTCCTTTTATTCTTTCTCGCTCGCACTCTCTCGCTCCTCTCCCTCACTCGCTCGCTCGCGCTCACACACGCACACGCATACACACACTCGGGTTCTCTCCCCCTCGGTTTCTCTACACCTCGCTCTCCTCTCGTTCTCTCTCTCTCTCTCTCTCTCTCTCTCTCTCTCTCTCTCTCTCTCTCTCTCTCT